GTCTGCTCCGAGGGAGAGGAGGCTCCCCAGAGTCCTGACTGGCTTTGTGGGGAGCAGTTCCAGAGCATCGCCCGGGGACTCCGTGACACAAGCCCAGAATTCAGCACATTCCTTCCAAAAGCCAGCGGCTGATGCACTTTGGTCTCTCCCACCAGAGATTCAGGGTCTATGGCCACTCTGCCTGGTGCGGCCCTGCCCAGCCGTGCAGGGTCGTAGCCGCAGGGGGTGGCTGCGGGGGGGTGGCTGGGGGACCAGGCTGCTAAAGGCAGTCAGCACCTGATGATGCAGTCAGGGCAATGATGCGCAGTGGGGAGAGGAGCAGCCAGGCCCAGCCCTCACCCTACCTGGCACGACGCCGTTCGTAGCGATGGCACTCATGGAAATGGCCGTCAGCATCGTCTGCAGAGAGGAAAACCACAGGGTTAGAGGCACCTCGGAGCCAGGCTGCCTCCTGTGCCCCAATGGGCCGGGGGCACCAGGCCGGGGGCCAAGAATAATGCAGCGCCCGGGAGGGGAGCAGTAATTACGGACCTGGGGGAGTGTCACTAGTGAGGGGGGGCCAGGAATCGGGCAAGCGTTTGCCTGTGTGAGTGACGCCAGTCTGACCATTTGTCGTGGGGCAGGGGACAAGCTGAGTTTTCAGACCTGGAAGCTGAATTCAGCCCCGGGGTTATTCCCCAGGCGCTCCGCCCCTGGGCTGTGGGTCCCATGCCAGCTCCTGCCCCGTGTGCTCCTGGGCGAGCTAAAGCTTCGGAGGTGATCCCCCCAGGACGGAGCTGGGACCCGTTAGAAGAGAGGCTCGGAGATTGCAGCGCATTGGAGGGCTGCCCAGGACTGCTCTCCTCACTAAGGTCTGGTCTGCGCGTCAGACCTATGTTGGTGTAACTACGTTGCTCAGGGTGTGAAAAATCCACAGCCCTGAGTGACGCAGTTACACCGACATAGCCCCCAGTGTAGACAGCGCCGGGTCCACCGACATAGCTACCGCCTCTCGGGGACGTGGATTAACTATGCCGCCGGGACAGCTCTCTCCCATCGGCTCATTAACCGCTACCACAGCGCAGCTGCGCCGATGCAGCTTTTGAAGTGTAGACGTGCCCTCAGCATGTGACCTGGCTTTTCTTGCTCCTAAATAGCAGAGGGCCAATGGGAGGGCAGGTCGCCCTGCAGCGTGGCCCGCACCAGGAAAGAGGGTTTTAACATGAGGGTTTCCTGGTCTCTGGCGACCCTGCTGCATGGGGGGGGGCACCATCTTGGAAGCGGGGGCCCCTTGCCACCCAGCTGTAACACTGCCTGAACTGCACACAAAAGAGCTGTGTAACTGCTCTGCACAGGGCGGGGGACGGCCCACAAGAAGGGGGTGCTGGACTATCCGATTCTGATCCCAGGAAATAAAGTCCCCAAGAAGTAGCCGCTCCCCTCAGTGGGGCCCCCAGGCAGCACACTCCCGCCTGTCTCCAGGATCGATAGAACTGGGACCAGCTTCTGGCTTGTAAAGGCTGGTTTCCCAGCGAGGTGATGGGTTTCGGTCGATCAGCCGTGTCAGCATTCAGTGCTCCCATCTTGTTCCCTAGTAACAGGTGGCTGGCTCCAGTCCTCCAGGATGCTCTCTCTTTAGCTGCAGTCTCCCTCCGGCAGCACTGGAGTGGGGTTTCTTCCTGACTCCTAGGCTGAGCCATGTTCATGCAAACAGGGGAGGTGAATTATTCCTCCCTGCCGCTCCCAAGGAACTCCAACCCTTGACCTAGGCCTGTCCATTCAGTGCTGGGCTCTGCCCGTCTGGTCTAACCCCACCTGGACGGGACACTCCGCTGCCGGAGCACAGCAGAGCTTACAGGTCTGGGGTGACAGCTGCACGGCAGGGCAGGGATAACAGCATCACTCACGCAGGAGCAGCAAAGGATGACCATGCAGAACGACTCCATTATGCCAGCAATTCCCACCACCCAGGTGAGGCGCAGGAAGAGGATCACCCCAAAGATGTTTTGCAGGCAGGGCAGGTAAACGCCCATGAAAGTGCCCATCCGCGGAGCCTACGGAGAAAAGCACGGCGCCATTAGACATGAGGAAGGCAGCATCAGCTCCCCCATAGGCCACAGGGCCTTGGAAAGATTTGCCTGAGAGGGTCAAGTCTCTGGAGTCCTGGTGCAGAGACAACTGGGGGGGGGGGGTCACGAACCAAAAAAAAGGGGGGGGCTCATTTGCTCCATGCCTCACCATGGCAGCTGTGGAGAACGGTTCAGAGGGGAGGGCTCAGACAGAGCTGGCAAGGGGAGCTCCAGGGCAGCGGCCAGGGCAGTGCCTGCCTCCTGGCACAGGGCGTGCATGGAATAGGACAGGGAGAGGGAGTGAAAGAAGGCGAGGAGGATGCAAACACGGTTGCTGCAGAGGATCGCTACAGCTACCCTGCTGGAGACAGGCCTCTGCCACCCCTCTCTCTGCACAACTGGGGGGCCTTTCGTTCCTTCCCTGCTCCTCTGCACGGGGCTCCCGAGACGCCCCCAAACCCACCAGCGGGGATCGGTCTCGGGGATCAGAGCCGTTCGTTTCCCTGCTGGAACAGTGCCAGCTGCAGCCCAGGCTGCCCCTCGCCGTGCGGCTGCTCACACAGGGAGCCGGCAGGAAATCACAGGGACAGGGAACTTGTTCCCGGCTGTGACGCTTTGGAGCCCACGGTGCTGGTGGCTCGGGGCTGCCCACTTAGGGCCTGGCTACGTCGCAGAGCTCCATGGATTGCAATGTACCTGGCTTAATCACAGCCCGCCCGGTGGTCCAAGCCACTGGCGGGGAGGCAGGGGGCCATGGCAGCTGCCCGGGGTGGCTGTGCCCGTGACAGCCCGGGGCAGCCCGGGGCACTTCGGAAGGCCTGGTGCTTGGGGATCTCTGCAGGAAGCGATGCAGACATCAGGCACCTCAGAAGGGTCAGGTGCACCTGGGCCCATGGCAGCGCCCTGCTGATCTTGGCAGCAGCAGCATGAGCCACGTCCCACTCACCTGCGACTGCAGCAAGGACTGGGAGATGGGGGAGGGTCCCACTCCACGGAGGAAGGCCCAGCGAAGGCGGTAGGACAGGCCCTCCTGCTAGTGCACGCGAGATGGACCCTGCCCGGAGAGCCCTGGGAGCTGGAAGTGAGAGCGTGGGAATTCCTGAACTCCCACAGCCGCAGAGAACCTCGCTCAGGCCAGAAAATGCAAATCGAAACCAGGAGCCTCCAGATCCGGGCAAGCGGGAGCTGCTGGGCAACTGGCCCCTTGGCGGGAAGCCGCACTGCCCGCCCAGGGACTCAGCACCAAGCCAGTGAGTCCTGCAGGGAGAGGGCGAATCCCACTCGCTCGCCCGCTCCCTTGGCCACGTCTGTGTGGCTGTGCCATGGCTTGGCACTGACGTGCAGGGGCAAGTCCCTTGGGAGAGAACCCACAGCCCCTGAGAGCAGCCCCAGAGAACCCCACCCTGGCACTGCCCCATGCCAGCAGCCCCAGAGAACCCCCCCCTGGCACTGCCCCACACCGGCAGCCCCAGAGAACCCCCCCAGACCCCCCCACGCCGGCCAGCGCTGGAGCCCGGTACTGAACCCCCTCACCTGCACAGGTTTCTTTTTGGCTCCATCGTTGTTCTCCGCCTCCTCGTGCTCCCGGCTGCCCTGCGGCAGGTTGGTGTAGTTCACCAGGCCGCTCAGCAGGGACGAGACCATGGGGCTGGTGTCCATCTCTTCCTGTTAGGGGCAGCGACAGGTGAGGGCGAGGTACCTGTCCTGAGCCGGCCGCGCCCTCCCTCCACGCTGCCCCCCCCCCGCGGCCCCTCCTGCTTGGTGCCCTACCTCGAAGAGGGCCATGTTCTTCCCGTCGTACTCCTTGCCCTTCTCCAGATCGGTGCTGTTGATGAAGGGGCTGCTCTCCTTGGGGTTGCCATCGCCTGCAGAGACACAGAGATCAGGGCTTGGGCCAGCCACCCCCTCCCCGCAGCCAGCAGCCCCCACCGTGCGGCTCGCCGGCTCACCCACCCTGCTGATGCTGCTCCCGGTCAGCATCGGCCGCACCGAGCTCCAGTCGCCCCAGCCACCCCCAGCATGGCCCCACCTGCCAGCAGCCATCGGGGCCCCACAGCCCTGATGCCAAGGGCAGCGCTGGGGTTCTCGGGGGCACGTGAGTGAGAGGCTGAATCCTCTTCCGAATGCACCCTCCAGAGCTGGCTCAGAGCCCACTGCCCCGGGCCATCAGCACCCAGGGAGGGGTGCACGGGTACTGCTGGGACTGGGGGGAGAGTCACCACTCCTGACACCCATCCATGCCTCGACTGCAGGGAACAGAGCCAGGGAAAGCAGCCAGCATCCCTGGGCGGCCTGGCCTTCTCCACCAGAGTCCCCTGGGATTTATAGCCAGCACCCCCGAGCTGCAGCCCTCCTGCTCCTGCGGGAGCCTGAGCCCCCCAGCACCACTGCTTAAAGTCACTGGGCAGCCGCCAGGGAGGGAGGCCTGGTGGGTACTAGCCTCAGAGCAGCAGGCTCTGTGCCCTGAGCCCCAGCAGAGGGAGTCACGTCTGACTGCGAAGTGGGGGTGCAGGACCTCTGGCTTCCACAGGACCCCGCCTGGGCGGACTCGCTGTGGGAAGCGCACGGAGGGGCATATGCTGAATGCTCCCAGGTCAGACCCAGGAAGGTGAAGCTGTGTGAGCTTCTTGCCCTGAAGACAGTCTGCTCCGGAGAGAGGAGGCTCCCCAAAGTCCTGCCTGGCTTTGTGGGGAGCAGTTCCAGAGCATCGCCTGGGGACTCCATGACAGGGGCTGGCTGGGAAGACGCAGGAAACCCCAGGTCTGGGATCTAAGATCCTTGCACCCCAGAGGGACCTGGCTGAGGGGTCCTGGTTGTACCTACACACTCTGCTTGGGACTGTGTTCCTGTCATCTAATAAACCTTCTGTTTTACTGGCTGGCTGAGAGTCCCAGTGAATCGCAGGAAGCCGGGGGTGAAGGGCCCTGACTCCCCCACACTCCGTGACAGGGGGCGGTCAGACGGAGCAGGGCTGGTCTGCCAGCAGAGTTGGCTAACTACGCACAGCCTTGGCCCGGGCCCTGCCGTGTCCCCCCACATGCACCAGGGTCACTCGGCGTCAGAGGAGAGCCATCAGCCCTGCAGCCTGAGCAGCCCCCTCAGGACGCTCCCCCCACAGCCCAGGGATCCAGGCCCCCACAGAGGGACAGCGCATGCACCACCCTCTGGACAGGACCCAGCTGCTCTGCACTCCGCTCCCCATCCCCATCTGGGCACGACGCCCACCCAAGCATCGAGGTCATGGGACTGCAGCCAAAGAGCACAGACATCAGCTGAAGTGAGTCGTGTGATGGGAACAGGCCCCGGCCCGGCGCTCCCCCAGGCCAGACCCAGCCACGACACAGCCACGGCCTATTCTGCCCGAGCGCGGGGGCCCTCTCCTGGGAGCCAGGGCTGCTCTGGGAAGGGCCCAGGCTGGCTGCTCCTGAAGGCAACGCAGAGTTGATGGGCCTGGAACTAAACAGGAATTGCTGAGCAGCCCTTGGGGGCCAGCCCACATGGGAAGCAGACCAGAGCAATGGGGCAGGGGCCGCCAGCGCCCAGGGCGACCCGCTCCATCTGCAGCGCCGTGAGGGGAGAGCCGCAGTCTGGAGGCTCCTCGCACGGCCCTCTGTGAGCAGGATCTTGCAGGGGCTGCGTGGGAATGGGCTGAGCAGTGTAGCGAGGGGACCTGTCGGGGGCACCAGGTCCGGCTAGAGCAGCGTGATGCTCACAGGTTCTCTGGGAAAGGGCCTGGCTGTCAGCAGCACTGACGACCTCGCTCTGAAGGAACCAAGAGCCAGACAGAACAGTAATGAGAGCTGCAGAGCAGCAGAAATAACTCAGGGTGGGAATGCAGCACCTGGGGCGGGTGCTGGTGGAGTCGTGTGTTTTGAAGAGCACTGGCACAACCAGGGAGCAGCCAAGGGGTGGCACTGAGCAGTGCCAGGACTGCCGCGAGCCCAGCCACAGAGCAGCCACCCCAGCACCCCACCCCTGCATGCCAGCCCCACCCTGAGCGCCCGCAGGGGAGCAGACCGAAGCAGGCCCTGGGAATTGGCCGAGATCCACACAGACCCCGGGGACACTGGCAGCTGGAATCCAAAGAGAGCAACTCACTCGACTACACAGCCCGCTTGTGACAGACCTGTCTGCGCCCCCTGCGGGGGAAGGCTGGAGCTCCTGGGGGCCTCTCGGGCAGGGAGACATGGACTGCTAAGGGGGACCCCGACACCAGCTGTGCACAAAGCACCCCACGGGACAGGCGAAGTGAGTCCATGGACAGGGAGAGCGCAGACGGTGGCGCAGGGAACCCGCTGACAGCCCGGCACAGCACTGCTCTCGACGGCTGAGTTCAGGTCAGGGGCCTCTGTCACGGAGTGTGGGGGAGTCAGGGCCCTGCACCCTCACGTCCTGCGATTCACCTGGACTCTCAGCCAGCCAGTAAAACAGAAGGTTTATTAGACGACAGGAACACAGTCCCAAGCAGGGCTTGTAGGTACAACCAGGACCCCCCATTCAGGTCCCTCGGGGGAGGCAGGGAGCTTAGACCCCAGCCTTGGGGTTCCCTCCATTTCCCCCAACCGCTCTAAACTGAAACTCCCCCCAGCCATCTCACCCAGCCTTCCCCCGGCTCCTCCCCCAGCCTTTCTCCAGTTTTCCGGGCAAAGGTGTCACCTGGCCCCAACCCCCCTCCTGGCTCAGGTTACAGGCTCAGGTATCGTCCCTCAAGTGAAGTCACCCCCTGCTCTCCCATCCCCCATGCAGACAGTCCCAGTAAAACTCCCCTGCGACATCCCCAGGTCAGTCCTCCCACTCCCTGCTCCGTCACATCTCTCCCCCCTTCGAGACTGAACTGAGCGACAGACGGAGCTTGAACCAAGAGGTCCCTGCAGCTTGGCTGGGCGCTGGGCTAACCAGACTGGACTGTGCTTTACCCTTCAGTTCTCTGTGCTACCCTCAGGCCTGCCTGGGCCATGTGCCAGCTAATGAATAAACCCGACTGTGGGACAGTGCTGTGTGAGTGTCACTGCCAAGGCTGGGCCAGGGGCATCTGTACGAGTCTCCCTCAGGGACCCGCTGACGGAGCTCATGGGGGGAAGCTGGGGGGCTGCAAGCCCAGAGGTGTCTAAGGAGGCAGTAAGCCGCACGGCCTACCCTGGAAAAAGATTGAGACCCCTAGGGGGTCTGGCACATCAGAGGGGTTCGTCCTAGAGACCGTTCCCAAGCTGGGGCCGTACACCAACCCTGTGGGTCCGTGACACCCTGTCCTCGCCCTCCCCAGTGGCCCTGCCCGGAGGAGGTACAGCCTGTTGGTGATGTTATTCGCAATAGACAGAAGCGAGCGATTCCAAACTACACGTCACGTTCCTGGAGCAAAGGGTGCCTGGGCAGCGAGAGGGAGACGGGCAAAGCGAGCCCAAGACCACGTGCGTCAATCACAACCGCACCAGAGAACTGCAGCCTTGGCAAACGTGGCAACCAGCCTCTCACACCTTCGTGAGGCAGTGATTCATCATCTGCAGTCCGTCTTCCCCAGCCATGGCACCCAAGGCCGAAGGGGCTGGCAGGGCAAACTACCCGCTGTCCACAGCATTGGCGCAGGAGCGCTGTTTGCCCAGTTACTGCAGGGGGGAGTTAGATCTTCATACACTGCAGCAATGCAAAGCCTGGGACAGATCTTCACCAGGTGTAAAGTGACAGTGGCTGAGAATCTGGCCTCAGCTCCTAACCCAACCCGCAGCTCAAGGACTCTGAGCAGAGCCAGCCTACAGCCCATCCCTGCGGTACCGAGCCCCACACAAGCTGCAGATCTGCACACACCCCTGGGGAACAGCATCACCTCCATTTCCCCCAACCGCTCTAAACTGAAACTCCCTCCAGCCGTCTCACCCAGCCAGTAAAACAAAGTTTATTAGACGACAGGAACACAGTCCAAACCAGAGCTTGTAGGTACAGAAACTGGACCCCTTAGTCAGGTCCATCTTGGGGCCAGGGAGGCCAGACCCCGGGTCTGGGCCTCCCTCTCTTTCCCCAGCCAGCTCCAAACTGAAATCCCCTCCAGCCCCTTCTCTGGCCTTTGTCTCTTTCCCGGGCCAGGAGGCCACCCGATCTCTTTGTTCTCCAACACCTTCAGTTGTCACCTTGCAGAGGAGGAGCCCAGGCCATCAGTTGCCAGGAGACAGGGTGTCGGCCATTCTCTGTGCAGACAGCATCACATTGCCGCCCTGCAACAATCACACACGCCCATCCCACCACTCAGATACTTAAGAAATGCATGGGGGAAACTGAGGCACCCACACAGTATTCGGAGAAAACATTAAGAACATTCCCACTTCGTCACAACATCTCTATTCAGAAACAGCCCAAGCGGCCACACTGGAATCACCCACTCCATTACTAATGGGGGAATCTCTGAAAACAAGATTGCCAATTTCCTCCTTCGAGCCGCAGTGATGCTCTAAGGAGCAGCCAACAGCTCAGACCGAAGCAGGACAGACACCGACAGGGTGGGCAGCCTCCCCGCCCGCGAGCGCTGCTGACCGGGACACGAAAGAGGCAAACAGGAATCTGCCCACGGACAACGCTGCCAGGCACTGTGCACGGCGGCTGTTCACAGGCAGAAGCCCAGAGGAGAGCGGCTGGATTCCCATGGCTGAGCCCAATGGGCTTCAACTGAGTCAGGACCTGGAGGCCTGGAGAGGAGGGTGAGGGAGGGGAGACCGGAGGCTGCAGGGAGAGATCCTGCCATGATTCACTGGGACTCTCAGCCAGTCAGTAACACGAACACAGTCCCAAGCAGGGCTTGTAGGTACAACCAGGACCCCTCAGTCAGGTCCCTTGCGGGGGGGGGGGAGCTTAGACCCCAGCCTTGAGGTTCCCTCCGTCCCCCCAGCCAGCTCCAAACTGAACCCCCCCCCCCCAGCCGTCTCACCCAGCCTTCCCCCGGCTCCTCCCCCAGCCTTTGTCCAGTTTCCCCAGACAAAGGTGTCACCTGGCCCTAACCCCCCCCCTGGCTCAGGTTACAGGCTCAGGTATAGTCCCTCAAGTGAAGTCACCCCCTGCTCTCCCATCCCCTGTGCAGACAGTCCCAGTAAACTCCCCTCCCACATCCCCAGGTCAATCCACCCCACTCCCTGCTGTGTCACAATGACTCCTTTCTGGGGCAGAAGGTTCATTTCATATAGAAACACAGAGCTAGAAGGGACTGAGAGGTGACTAGCCCAGTCCCCTGCACCGAGGCAGGGCTACGTATTAGCTAGACCAGTGGTTCTCAACCCTTCTGTTCTGGTGACCCCCTTTGTGACCCACTTCCTTAAATAGCATTCAGTAAATTCTGAATAATACTCAGAGCCAGCGGTAGCGGTAGCAAGCAGGGCAACTGCCCAGAGCCCCATGCCACAGGGGCCCCCGCGAAGCTAAGTGACATGCTTCAGCCCTGGGCAGCAGGGCTCGGGCTGCGGCTGGAGGCCCCGCTGTGATGTGGGGGCCCTGGGCAATTGCCCTGCTTGCCACCCCCTAATGCCAGCCCTGGTGACCCCCCTAAACTTGTCCTGTGACCCCTCCCCCCAGGATGAGAAACACTGATCTATTCTAGACCATCCCTGACAGGGGTTTGTCTAACCTGCTCTTAAACACCTCCAGTGACAGAGATTCCACAACCTCCCTGGGCAATTTGTTCCAGCGCTTAACCGCCCTGACAGTTAGGAAGTTTTTCCTCATGTCCAACCTAAACCGCCCTTGCCGCAATATAAGCCCATTGCTTCTTGTCCTGTCCTCAGTGGATAAAGAGAACAATTTATCACCCTCCTCTTTATAACAATCTTTGAGGTACTTGAAGACGGTTATCATATCCCCCCTCCCTCAGTCTTCTCTTCTCCAGACTAAACAAACCCAAGTTTTTCAATCTTCCCTCATAGGTCATGTTTTCTAGACCTTTAATCATTTCTGTTGCTCTTCTCTGGACTTTCAGGTAAGATGTGGACAAATTGGAGAAATGTGGCACCCAGAACTGGACACAATACTCCAGTTGAGGCCTAATCAGCACGGAGTAGAGCGGAAGAATTACTTCTCGTGTCTTGCTTACAACACTCCTGCTAACACAGCTCAGAATGATGTTCACTTTTTTTTTGCAACAGTATTACATCGTTGACTCATATTTAGTTTGTGATCCACTATAACACCGAGATCCTTTTCTCTAGTACTCCTTCCTAGGCAGTACTTTCCCATTCTGTATTTGTTCAATTGATTATTCCTTCCCAAGCGGAGTACTTTGCTTTTGTCCTTATTGAATTTCACCCTATTTATTTCAGACCATTTCTCCAAGTTGTCAAGATCATTTTGAACTCTAATCCTGTCCTCCAAAGCGCTCATGACCTCTCCCAGCTTGGTGTCGCCCACAAACTTTGTAAGTGTACTCTCTATGCCATTACTCAAATCACTGATAAAGATACTGAATAGAACCGGACCCAGGACAGATCCCTGTCGGACACCACTCGATATGCCCTTCCAGTTTGACTGTGAACCACTGATAACTACCCTCTGAGTATGCTTTTCCAACCAGTTGTGCACCCACCTTACAGTAGCTCCATCTAGGCTGTATTTCCCTAGTTTGTTTCTGAGGTCGTGAGACTGTAACAAAAGCCTTACTAAAGTCGAGATATATCACATCTACTGCTGCCCACCCCCACCCCCACCGCCCCATCCACAAGGCTTGTTACCCTCTCAGAGAAACTCCCTCCTCATGGGCACCCTGGCTTTGGGGGAGGTGTGGCTGAGGAGACAGAGGGGAGTTTTGGGGAGGGCAGCCGTGGGAGGAGGCCCAGGGGCAGGAGTAGGAGGAAAGAAATGGGCCTGGGGCAGAGCAAGGGGGGAGTGTGGGTGAAGGAAGGAAGAGCGAGATGCACATAGCAGCCCCAGGGGGCAGAGGCAGGTCAGGGTCCTACCTGGTGTCTCCTGAATGCCAGGGAATGAGAGGTGCAGGGTCAGCAACGGGATCCGCTCCTCTGTGGGCTTCCAGCCGCCAGAGGTGGAAACCCCACACAGCGGCTCTGGCTCTGTCCAGAGAACAATGCTGGCACCCCCACCCCTTGCACCAGTACCCTGCACCCATGCCCTGTGTGACGTTATTGATATAATCTGGGACCATATAGATCATTGTTGCAACCAAGGTCCTGTAGTGGCACCCAAATCTTGTATAAAGGGGGTCAAATGGGGTGTCTTAGACAAGGTTATGGTTTACTGGTTATGATTATGCTGTCTATATGTGTGTATCAATTTTGTAGTTGAAGTTATGAATATTGGCTCTATACTGTCTGTATTTCAAACTTATGCTATGCTGCTGGGTGACATCCCAGACAAGCTGGTGTTAGCTCTGCCTAGCCTGCTTGATGGCCCATTAAGGACCATCAGCTATACAATGGACCCATTGAGAGAAGGCAAATATGCCTTGAGACTCAGCAAAGTATGCAGGGACTGGCCCATGTGACTCCAGGCTCCATTTTGCTGTAATTTTCCACAGTAAGAACAAAGAGGTGTTCTTACACCTGGAAAAGACTATATAAGGCTGATGCCTCATCTCCATCTTGTCTTCAATCCGGCTTCATACCTCTGGAGGAACTTTGCTACAAGCTGAAGCTTTGAACAAAGGACTGAGGACCCATCCCAGCGGGGGATGTATTCCAGAGACTTGATTTGAACCTGCAGTTCATTCTATCGCTGCTGCAAGCCTGAACCAAGAACTTTGCCATTACTGTATGTAATTGATTCCATTTAACCAATTCTAACTCTCATCTCTATCTTTTTCCTTTTATGAATAAACCTTTAGATTTTAGATTCTAAAGGATTGGCAACAGCGTGATTTGTGGGTAAGATCTGATTTGTATATTGACCTGGGTCTGGGGCTTGGTCCTTTGGGATCAGGAGAACCTTTTTCTTTTACTGGGGTCTTGGTTTTCATAACCATTTGTCCCCATAACGAGTGGTACTGGTGGTGATACTGGGAAACTGGAGTGCCTAAGGAGATTGCTTGTGAGACTTGCGGTTAGCCAGTGGGGTGAGACCGAAGTACTCTTAGTCTGGCTGGTTTGGTTTGCCTTAGAGGTGGAAAAACCCCCAGCCTTGGGCTGTAACTGCCCTGTTTGAGCAATTTGTCCTGAGTTGGCACTCTCAGTTGGGTTCCGCCAGAACCGCATTGTCACAGTGGCGTAGTCGGCAGGATCCACAGAACCAGGTCAATTAAGCTTTGGGTCAGAACCCCACGCTATCCAAATTTGAATTTTGGGATTGAGAGTTTGGTTGGTTAAAGAACAGTTGCAATGGCTGAGCAAAGAGCATATGAGGGCCTTGACAAGAAAGCCCTGAAAGATTTGTGTTCAGAAAAGGGGATAAGCTTTAGAAAGAAAGCTACAAATCAAGAGCTGAGAAATCTGTTAATGGCCAGTGATCAGAAGGCAGGAGATGCCACAGAAGCAATTGGAATGCAAAAGGCAGCAAGTAAACTGCAACTTGAGCATGAACAAAGACTGGCAGAAATTCGATTGCA